GAGGGACACAGGGGGCACAGGGGGACACAGTGGGACACAGGGGACACGGAGGTGACACAGGGGGCACAGGGGGACACGGAGGGACACAGGGGACACAGTGGGACACTGGAGGGGACACAGGGGGACACAGGGGACACCGAGGTGACACAGGGGGACACAGGGGACACGGAGGTGACACAGGGGGACACAGGGGGACGTGGGGACACTGGGGGGACACCGAGGTGACACAGGGGGACACAGTGGGACACAGGGGGACACGGAGGTGACACAGGGGGACGCAGGGGTCAGCGCGGGGCGCCCGCGCGCCCGGCCCCCCGCCGAGCGTCCCCGCGCGCCCGCAGGCATGGTGAGCCTGTGGTCGCTCGCCGTGGTGGCCTTCGAGCGCTTCCTGGTGATCTGCAAGCCGCTGGGCAACTTCACGTTCCGCGGGGGCCACGCGGCGCTCGGCTGCGCGCTCCCCTGGCTCTTCGGCCTCGCGGCCTCCACGCCGCCGCTGCTGGGCTGGAGCAGGTAGCGGGGCGCCGGCGGGGGGCCCGGGCGGCGCGGCGGGGGCGTCAGCGCCGTGTCCCCCCCGTGCGCCCAGGTACATCCCCGAGGGGCTGCAGTGCTCGTGCGGCCCCGACTGGTACACGACGGGCAACAAGTGGCACAACGAGTCCTACGTGCTCTTCCTCTTCTGCTTCTGCTTCGGCGTGCCGCTGGCCGTCATCGTCTTCTCCTACGGGCGCCTGCTGCTCACGCTGCGCGCGGTGAGGGGCCGGCCTTACCGGGGCGCGCGGGGCACGCGGCACGCAACACACGCGGGGACGGGCACGCGTGGCACGCACGGGGATGGGCACGCGTGGCATGCATGGGGACAGGCACACATGGCACACGTGGGGACAGGCGCACGCAACATGCGACACGCATGGGGACGGGCGCACGGGGCACGCGGCACGCGCGGGGACGGGCGCACGGGGCACGCGGCACGCGCGGGGACGGGCGCACGCGACACATGACACGCGCGGGGACAGGCGCACGCGGCACGCGCGGGGACGGGCACAAGTGACACCCGCCGTGTTTGGGGACAGGCACACGCGGCACGCGACACGCACGGGGACGGGCGCCCGCGACACCCACTGTGTTTGGGGACAGGAGCACACGACACGCGACATGCGAGGGGATGGGCGCACGCGGCACGCAACATGCGTGGGGACAGGCGCACGTGACACCCACTGTGTTTGGGGACAGGAGCACGTGGCATGTGGCACGCACGGGGATGGGCGCACGCGACACGCGACACGCATGGGGACAGGCACACATGACACCCACTGTGTTTGGGGACAGGCACACGCGACACGCGGCACGCACGGGGACGGGCGCGCGCGACACATGACACGCGTGGGGACAGGCGCACGCGGCACGCAACACGCGTGGGGACGGGCGCACGTGGCACGCGACACGTGTGGGGACGGGCGCGCGCGACACATGACACGCGTGGGGACAGGCACACGCAACACACAACATGCAAGGGGACGGGCGCACGCGGCACGCGCAGGGACAGGCACACGCGACACGCAACACGCGCGGGGACGGGCGCACGCGACACATGACACACGTGGGGACAGGCGCACACGACACGCGACATGCACGGGGACAGGCGCGCGGGACACCCACCATGTTTGGGGACAGGCGCACGCGACACGTGGGGACGGGCGCACGCGGCACACGGCACGCGTGGGGACAGGCGCACGCGACACGCGACACGCGTGGGGACAGGCGCACGGGACACCCGCCACGTGTGGGGCACGCGACACGCGACACGCGTGGGGACAGGCGCGCGGGACACCCACCGTGTTTGGGGACAGGCACACACAACACATGACACGCAAGGGGACAGGCACACGCGACATGCGACACGCGTGGGGACGGGCGCGCGGGACACCTGCCACGTGTGGGGCACGCGACACGCGACACGCGTGGGGACGGGCGCGCGGGACACCGCACACGGGGCGACCAGCCCTCCACCCGCCCCGGCGCTGTCGGGGTGTCCCACCCGCCGCGTGGGGGTCCCCGTGGGGCGGCAGGGCCCCCCGCGGCGCCGGGAGCACCCAGGGGTGGCCCTGCCCCACCGGCGGCTGTGGGGGTCCCACCGGCACCGCCGCTCCGTGCCCGCGGCTGCTGATTCCCAACGGCCGCTCCGTGTCCGCGGCGCCTCATTCCCAACGACCAGTCCATGCCCACGTTGGCTCATTCCCAACGGCCGCTCCGTGCCCATGATCGCTCATTCCCAACGGCCGCTCCATGCCCACGTTGGCCCATTCCCGACGGCCGCTCCGTGCCCATGATCGCTCATTCCCAACGGCCGCTCCATGCCCACGTTGGCTCATTCCCGACGGCCGCTCCGTGCCCACGGTGCCTCACTCCCAACGGCCACTCCATGCCCATGATCGCTCATTCCCAATGGCCACTCCATGCCCACGTTGGCCCATTCCCGACGGCCACTCCATGCCCACGTTGGCTCATTCCCAACGACCACTCCATGCCCATGATCGCTCATTCCCAACGACCACTCCATGCCCATGATCGCTCATTCCCAACGACCACTCCATGCC